GCAGGACTTCGACCCCGACGGCAACCACGTCGGCATTGACGTAAACGGCGTCAGATCTGTAAAGGTCGAGTCTTTGACGCGTCGGGGCATGGTCTTGGCCCCGAATAGCACCGCCGCGAGGTTCTACAACGTCTGGGTGCAGTACGACGGGGCGGCGAAGGTCATGGAGGTGTTCGTCGGGGAGCAAGAGACGAAGGACGGCGACGACTCGCCGCCGAAGCCGGAATCCCCTGTTCTGAGGACTGATCTCGATCTCAGGGACAACCTGGATCAAGAATCCTATTTCGGGTTCTCCGCCTCGACGGGGAACAAGTACGAGCTGAACTGCGTTCTGAGATGGAAGTTCACCATCGACTACTTCCCGGAAAATCAAGAATCCTGGCGGAAGAAGATAGGAATCGGGGTCGGTGCCACGGCGGCAGTCCTGGCGGCAATCGCGGCGGCGGCGGCGGCGCACAGGATGCGGAAGGGGAGGAGCCAATCGGCGATTCTGGGAGCGCTGAAGAGCCTGCCGGGGACTCCGAGGGAGTTCGAGTTCAGGGATCTGAAGAAGGCGACGGAGAACTTCGAGGAGAAGAAGAAGCTGGGGAGCGGAGGGTATGGGGTGGTGTATAAGGGGTGTTTGGCGGCGGAGAAAATGGAGGTCGCCGTGAAATTGTTTTCCAGAGAGAACATAAAGGGGGAGGATGATTTCTTAGCTGAGCTCACCATCATCAATCGTCTCCGCCATAAACATCTCGTCAAGCTTCTAGGTAAGCATCTCATCAATTATATTGTCACTTTCATTCATTTTAACCTTAATTCAATTGAGGCAAACATACCCTAGGCTGTTAGTCTTCATCGGTTTCTTGTGTTTCTTTTTTTTTGTTTTTTTAAAAAAATTCATTTACGTTTGGCCGACCGGACCCCAAGCCCAAACACATCCAAAGGACAATGGGCATGACTAAAAAAATCGGTCGTGAAAGGCGACCGTAAAAGTGTCGGATAAGTTAAGAGGGCCCCACGTTTGGTCCCATCTGTCTCCTCTGTTTGTCAAACCCACAACAATCATCCAGAACCAGTCGCCAATTCAACTGATATAAATTGAGAGGAAAACTACATGGGTCATGCTAGGGGTACACCAAAGGTGTACCCCATTTGTACACCACCCCTTCAATAACCACTCATTTATTTTAGATTTTTATTTACTTATTTTTTTTTAAATTTTCTTGCCTAATTGAGTTGTAATGGAGGGGGTGGGGGACAAATGGGGTACACCAAATGGTGTACCCCTAGCATTTTCCAAACTCCATTCATGTCTGACATTTGTATCCTATTTTGTATCTTTACAGATTGTCCAGATATTAAATGTAAGACTATAACTAATTTTATGTCAGTGTTGCACTTATATTTTATGTCAGGATAACACTTTAGAATACAAAATGGGGTATACAGTGGGGTGAGAGTAGCACAAGTGCACAACCCAAATTGAGATTTAACAAATACGGAGTATTCAGGAATCAAATTAGTTTTTTTTATATGGAGTGCATAATTTGATATTCATAAAATAAAACAATTATGATATTTTTGTATTGTTAGGTACTTAGGTGTATAAATTTGAAAAAAAAATAGGTGTATGCATTTGATAATATACTTGCAAAAAAAATAGGTATACAAAATTTAAAATAAAATTTATATATTTAAAAAATTATATATTTAAAATAGGTCACCAATCTCATGCTTTGACATAGGATTCAATTGGGGCCTTTGTCCTGATACGAATATATACAAGATGTATGTGAGGCCTAACTAATTGCATCACGGTTCCCATGACATTTAAAATCAATATCATAAGATGATACGTGATTCGTACGGTACTTCGTTTGAACAAGTGATGGTTCCTATCCTTCCTAACCCATGGTAAACTCCCCCCTTCCCCCCAACTCGACTCGACCTGAACCCATCCCCTCGCCCTGTCAATTGCACCACAAGATCTAGTTGACTTTAGAGTCAAATTTTGACTCTAAAGTCAACTACATCTTATGGAGTGCAATTGACGGAATGGAAGCTGGATTCAGGTCGAACCGAGTTGTGGGAGATAGGTTTACCGGAGAAGTTAGGAGAATAAGAATCATTAATTTATCAAACGAAGCACCGTAAGAATTTCAAACAAGACCTATATAAATATCATTGGAACCTTGCCCAACTAATTGATAGTAATCATTTTTTTACACGAAAAAAGCTGATGAATATGTATTGGGACCAACTAACGTTTTCACACAAGTAATTGATCTTTTATACAAGAAAATTAAATTTTACCCCAATGGCATGAAGTAGTGTTTACACTAAAAAGGCATCTACGAATGGAGTATTGTCATTATTAAGTCCTCCGGAGGATAATTATGGGTGACAGTTGTGGTAATTTGAAAATGCATTTTCTATTTTTCTCCAATAAACTCTGAAAAGAGTTGACAAAATCACTCCATTGCTTCACCTTTTCTTTTTTACACGGTACGGACTCCATTCAGTTTCAACTACTCCGGTATCTATTCAGATTTGATCACGTGTTTTATGAAAAATAAAGTAGTGTGTTTCTACCAAGATTTTATTTTGATTGACCAAGCAAGACAACCAAGCACTTAATTTAAAGGACCAACACTCAATTTAAAGGACTATGTTATATTTACACCAAAATTTGTACCCCAAACTTACACCAAAGATATACACCAACACTTTGATGGTTTACACTGACACAAAGTGTTGTTGCGTTAACAAAAATTTACACTGACACAAAGTGTTGATGGTTAACAAAAATTAGAATCACACCAACACAAAATGTTGGTGCACACTTGCGGTGTACAAAATGGGGTACAAACCCTTGGGTACAACTAGCTTTATCCTAATTTAAATTACATTTATTCCGTACATTATATACATATAACTTTGTAATAAATATTTTTTTAAAATATTTAAAATAAAAAACTAATTAAATTGTTTTAATATTAATATGTAATTTAAAGAGTAATTTTTATTTTATTAGTGATCAAAATTCATTTTATGTGATTGTAAAAAACTAAACGAGACAAACATGCAGGGACGTAGTACTTACATATATGTGTTTCCAAACACCCGTTTTCTTCTAAATAAATTCCAACGACCCATTAATATCATTTTTTTAATTCTATGAAGTTGAAACTGTTATACGAAGTAATAAATTTTAGACAAAGGTTGGGTAAAAAATGAGACAATGTAACAAGTAGGTAGTATGTGATGTGCAGGGTGGTGTCACAAGTATGGGAAGCTACTTCTGGTGTATGAGTACATGCCCCATGGAAGCTTAGACCAACACATCTTCTTCTCGTCGTCGTCACCGGAAAAAGACCCGTTGAGCTGGGAACTCCGGTACAAAATCTTGTGTGGGGTCGCCTCCGCGCTGCACTACCTCCACAACGAGTTCGAACAGCGCGTGGTGCACCGCGACCTCAAGGCCAGCAACATCATGCTCGACTCCCACTTCAACGCCCGCCTCGGTGACTTTGGCCTTGCGCGCGCTCTCGACAACGAGAAGACCTCGTACGCCGAGGCCGAGGGCGTGCTCGGCACCGTGGGGTACGTCGCGCCCGAGTGCTTCCACACAGGTAATGCTATTTCTACGGGCTTGTTCATGCTTTATAGTAAAGTCAACAAAATTTGAGGGATGAAATTGAAAGGGTTGGGGGTGTGGGTTCAGGTCAGACCGGGATGCATGGAGGGTTTGCCGGGAAGGTTAGGGGGTAGGTGTTCCAATTGGAGCTGGTATCATCGGATAGACACTCCGATGAGTGTCTGTCAAGGAACCAATCCAACCAAAAGCTCAAGCTTGTAGTTGTGGCCCAGGAACGGTTATTTATATTCTAACACGCCCCCTCACGTGCAAGCGTAGTTTTTTTCGAGCCTTGCACGTGAAACCTTAATTTTTTTAAACTGGGTGGCGCTGAGTTTCGAACCCGTGGCCTCTTAGTCAACGAGACTCTAATACCATGTCAAGGAACCAATCCAACCAAAAGCTCAAGCTTGCGGTTGTGGCCCAGGAACAGTTATTTATATTCTAACAGTGTCCTTTGAACCTTACCGATCAAAAGTACTATTTGCTGAGTTTCAACAAGAAGTTTGAGTTTTTAGCTAAGTTGGCTTGTTGACGTGTGATGGTTTCTTGACAGGTAAGGCTACTCGGGAGTCGGATGTTTATGCGTTTGGAGCGGTGATATTGGAAGTATTGTGCGGGCAGAGGCCCGGGGCAAAGATCGGCGGCTTTAACATTCTCGTCGATTGGGTTTGGTACTTGCACCGCGACGGGAGAATTCGAGAGGCAGTGGATCCAATGTTAAGGGATGCTTATGTCGAGGACCAAGCCGAGAGACTTCTATTGTTGGGGTTGGCTTGCTCGCACCCAACGGCTAGCAAGAGGCCGAGAACATCTGACGTTCTGCAGATCATTCAAGGCTCGATTCCAGCACCGAATGTCCCGCCCTTCAAGCCATCATTCGTGTGGCCATCTATGGTGCCCTTCGACATGGATTCACTTGAAGCTGATTTGGCATCGACGATGACGACTTCACAGTTCAACTCGGGGTGGACCCCGCAATCCGTCAGCGACGAGAGGAACAATGCTAGCAGCACAGGACACTTGAACTCCTTGGTGTAGTTGCATTTGTGTCCATCTAACTATCACCAACCATGAGAACTCTTCTAATCTGAAATCAAAAGATTTCACTCAGCTTTTTCTTTCATGGTACATATTTTTTCTTTTACTAATATATATACATAGTACCTACAATATTCTATTCTTTTGGGAATGAAACATGGAACACTAGTAGTAAATATATTCTTGAAATGTGTTGTAAGTTGTAACTCACTTTGCACCTTTGTTTTTTTGGCATTTGCCAGCATCCAAACATGCCATTAAGTTATGGGTATTTGGAAAGTGGCTACTACATGTATACAAAAGAGAAACACAACAAATTCATGAGCATTTGTTGAGAAAGAATAGGAATATTTCATTAACTAACCCAAACATTGGGTTGCAAATCTCATACACATAATAAATAATAACTGCTTCCTATATACATACATCATTACAATTCTCACATCTAACCATATATCTGCCTTGCAACAACAACAAAATGCTGGAGAACAACCCGCCCGTGCAAAAATTAATACAAACAAGGGTTTGGTTCATCCGCTAAATTACAAATAAGGGGTTGGTTTGGTTAATCCACTAAGTGTTCAATAATGTGATTGAGTTGCATGTTTCCCAACAAACAGTTGGTGATGAGAAAGGTTTTCAGCTGCTAAAGGGTATTCTTGGCATATACGGAGTATTTTTTTACATGGAGAAGCGGCCATCAGAAATCTTATTCTCCTTTGAAAATCTCTCTTCGCGGATCTCCTCCAATTCGTCATCTTCCCCCTTTCGCCCAGCTTGCTCCTTCCAATAAGCTACTAGCTTCTTTAGACGTGCCACTTCCTTTGACGAAACATTCTTGCTCGGGTCATTGATTATAGACCGTACCCTTGATGCATATCTGAGTATTTCAAAAAAATAACAATCATAACAATAGAATTAGTGACCACACAATTACATCAAGAACATAAAATGCATGTCCTTATATGTATATGTTGAAGAATGACATACGTCAAAGAATTGTAACTCTCATCCAAGTTCGATTCAGCTGGAGAAACGTTAACAAACATTAGTGTTTTGGCATTTCCACCGAGTGAATCGCTCATCAACATAGTCAGTTTGTGGTTTCGGTAAGGGATGTGTTGGACACCAGAAGCCAATGCACTGATGACATCTCCAAGGGCTGAGAGTGACTTATTAATGCTTTGAGCTTCCTTCAGTTGACTGCCAGAAGAACCTGATTTCTTCACTCTCTCAGACCCCGCAAGATCCACAAAACTTAACTGCATCAAAAACGTTGCACCCTTGTCACTACAATTCATAATAATCCAATCATCCATTATGTTTTATACTCAGCTCCTAAAAATAAGAGCCGATTTTCAAGAACTACAAGTGGAAAGCAATAACTTGTGAGCACCTTAATTGAGTTGGTTAAAGGATTTAAAGGTAGAATGTTGTATCTTACCCACACAAGACTCTTTTTTTGGGATGCGGGAAGTATAATCAATTGATATATTTAACCCTAGAGTTGTTGGGTAGACCTTTGAGGCTTAATTTGTAGTTAATGCTAGTGTGCTTTTTGCCTTAGTTTGGAACTTGAGCATGTGTGCTTTCTTGATCTGGGTCTAGTTGCTATTATCGGTATGCGTGCTTCTTGTGTTTATGCTCTTACTTTGTTCGTGCTACTGTGTATACTTTGTATGTGTTTCCGTGTTTGAGCCGAGGGTATCTTGAAAACAGCTTCTCTACTCTCGAAGTAAGGTAAGGTCTGTGTACACAGCCTCCCCAGGGACCCTACTTTTTGTGGGATTTTAGTGGATTTCTTGTTGTATATTTAACTGTAGAAATAAAATTTCATAACCATTTTTCATACCTTTCCCCTGGCGACAGCTTGTGTTTGAAGATTTGTACTCTCAATTATAATGGAAAGTATCAAGTGGGATCTGGAACTCTGTTCATTCATGAGAGTCCCACTTGTATGACGCTGCTCTGATCCTCTCTGGATAACAGTTCTTAGATCCTCGTATGTTGAAACAGATACAAGAGAGACATTCTCCACAACGACCATACCCTGTTGATTCACACACACCCCAACATATCAGACACATGAATGCATATATAATTATCGTTAGAATCAAGTTTTTAAAAAAGGGCTATCAATTTGCAATCACCTTTGAATCTTTTTTAATATCCAACTTTAGACGCTTTGAAGACTTTGGTAGGAGAAGATCAACCAATGTATCTTGATACAATTCTACCATGTATGCCTGCATTTATCAAAATAAACGGAAACAAATGACGTCACTTTTACTTTCACAAAAATCTGTCATAAATATATTACGAGCACAAAAAGTGGTAGTTAAAGAAGCAAAGTAAAATGTAGCAAGACATGCCCTTGACTAATTAGAGCTTAAAAACTACTCCCGTCGTTCAGAACTAGTTGTCTACTCTTAAAAATTTCTCATTTTTAAGAAATGAGTTTAAAACATCAAGCCCTCTGTCAAGGAACTAATTCAACCAAAAGCTCAAGCTTGTGGTTGTGGCCCAGGAAATGTTTCTTATATTCTAACACGCCCCCTCACGTGCAGGCGTAGTCTTTTTCGAGCCTTGCACGTGAAACCTTATCTTTCTAAAACTGGGTGGCGCTGAGTTTCAAACCCGTGACCTCTTAGTCGACAAGGCTCTGATACCATGTCAAGGAACCAATTCAACCAAAAGCTCAAGCTTGTGGTTGTGGTCCAGGAAATGTTTCTTATATTCTAACACCCTCCAAATGAGTTAGCCTATCTCTAGGATATTTTAGACAACTCGTCAAAATTTCTTTATTGAATAACTAACTCATCACAATTTCTTTACTGAATATGCAAAGCGGATAACTAATTCCAGACAAACATAAACAAGAAAGTGGAACGCTAAATCCGGACTGAGGGAGTATTATAATTGGTAATTTGGAATAGCACCATTCTAGAGTACCTAATCATTACTCGCATCGAACTATATAGTAGAACAAGGTTCTACCTTCAAAGAAAAGGAGAACTTGTTGCTATCTTGCCTCATAATTCTAAAAAGTTCAGAGGTAGCTCTTGGGGTTAATCCTGGATTACTATCAGACCCAAAAATTGTAAATGTCTTTCCAGAGCCAGTTTGCCCATATGCAAAGATGCACACATTGTAGCCATCAACCGCTGATTGTACCAAAAACTGCATGAATTCAAGATAAAAGAAAAAAAGTTATAAAAAAAGTTGAAAAAAGCCATGAGTTAACCATATTAAAGATCAGAAACTTTCTCGTGCTTACCTTGGTATCCTCAAACACATCATCCTGACTACAGTTTCCATCAAAGACATGATCATACATATGTTGTTTCCTCTCATCTTTCCACAAATGCTCAACGGTAAACTCGTCAACACTCGTAAGTGCGTTTCTTTCCCTTGCGCCAATTTCTTTTTCACTGAGAGGCCTTAATCTACAACAGACCCTAACTTTTCCTTTCATATCTGAGAAATATCAAACGGAGTGTGTGTTCTTAATAAGAGGAAATCAAAATAAATATGAAATTTTATAATTTTAGGTTTATGTAAGCCTCATGCTAGCAAGTAGTAGTACCTTCCATCATGTTGAAGTATCTTTTCCTCAATAGTTGTTCCTCTTTATAAAGTGCTTCCATTTCAGCTAATTGTGCCCCTTGCATTTTCAAAAGTGCAGCTGTTTGCTCATTCTTTCTATCAATATCCTGGTAGAGGCATAATTATAAGGTATTGAATATGGAGTCTAAAAGAGAGGATGAAACTTATAAAAGTAAATAGATACAACAAATGAAATGCATAAATTCAACTCTGTTGGGGTTTTGGGGGTTAAAATGTGTGCAACCATACTTTTTAATAACTCATTTGTTTCGTTGTCGTAGAGAAAATGAAGAAAGACATGATTGAGAGGAAGGGAGAGCGGGGCAGCAGTGGACAAGAGGGAATAGTTTGTTGCTTTCACTCCTTGTCAAAACGTTTTTTTAGCTCCATTGGCAATGGACATATGATTGGGTAAGAATGTGCTAAAGAAATATTTGAAACAAGTACTTCACACTAATTTTAAACTCGAGTGAAATCCTAGGCACGCTCCTCAGTGTCACCTAGGGCTTAATTACGTAACTTATTTAGATAAAATATAAAAATTTCTCATGGAAGTTCAGATGATTAACTACCATAATATAGTCACCTCTTTCATTTCTCGCAATTCCTCAAGCTCTTTTAGATTATTTTGTACCATTTCAAGCTCTGTTTCCTTTCTCGCGAGAGTAGATTTTGCAACCGCCAAATCTGATTTTACTTCTTCCACTTTACTTTGAAGCTCAGAAACTTGAAGAGTTAATGTCTTGCATTCATGTTCAAAGCTTTTCTGAAAGGTTCCAATACACAGTTACATATCATGTGAAAAACACCTTATTTCATGTTTTTTTGGGAGAGAGATTAAAACAAAAAGTAGAATTAGTATTAACATAGAAAAAGGGAATACCTTGTCACTTTTCTCCTGTTCAAGCTTTATAACTTTTTCCTGTAATTTCACCTTTTCATTCAAAAGCTTTCTCTTGGTTTCTTCTGCAGCACGCAAGTCCACAAGGCGAGCTTTCAACTCATCTTGGATTTTACTCAAGACCTATTATTGGATATCATGTGCAGCTCATAATTTGAAAGAGAAAAGAACACATTGATTGAATTTGCAGTTATGATCACTAGCTCAATGGTTGCTTGCTTAGAATAATTTAAATTTTTTAGGGAAATTGGATAAAAAAACACTATGAACTACTACCTCAATTCTAGAACATTTGTGGGTTGACTTCTTTGGATTAAACTAGACAAACTTTGCAATTAAATAAAAATTGCATTAGATATTAGTACAAAAATGATTTAATTAGATTTATCTTGCAAAAAATTATCAGAAATTTGTTACATTGTATTAATATGCAATACAAATTTAATGTAATTGATGATTAAAGTTTGTCCAGTTTGACTCTAGTCAAACTAGACGGGGAAGCCAAACTAGACAAATAATATGGGACGGGGGGAGTATGAAATTGGTCAAAACATTACCAACTATCAACCATGTTGGCCAAAAACAATGTATATGTCATGTCATATGAAAATCTGCATAAATGCTCTTCATATAAGCATACTAGAGTATTTTTGTTCATTTTCGCATTGTTAATAGTATACTTGTCCAATTTTACTCGCCCATGCCCCCAATAATACGAATGCCTCATAAGTATTTCTATCATTTTCTTCATTAGAAATTTTCACCAATGATAAAACATTAATTTGAGACAAATCTGTGACTTGTAGAAATATTGTTTACACTGATCTGAAATTAGTTCGTGTATTTTATTGTGGGGGTAAGATTGGACAAACACTACCAACAATGAGAGATATGAAAAAAAACACTCAAGTATGATTATATGAAGAGTTATTATATGGATTTTGCATTCTATATTGTTTTTGGCCAACAGGGCATTGATGATGTTTTAGCCAATTTCATAATTTGTAGTGTTTTTGTCCAATTCCTCTTTTACTTGGTTGTGTTCCTGTCCAATTTTCCTTTTTTTTAAAGTTAACAACAAAGCAAATCCTTTTTCAAAACAGAAATCACTAGCTATACCTGGTTATTAGTCTCCACAGATTCCTTTTTGATATTGTTCTCCAATCCAAGAGGATTCAATTTTTCAAGTCTTCTTTCCAAGACCTGCTTCTCTGCTAGAGAAGCCTACCAAGAGATTTCGGTATAAATAGTTGATGCATTTGCATGGAATCAAAATTAATTATTCTCAGTCATAACTACCTGTAGTTCTGAATCTTTTTCCTCATATAATGACTTGAACTTATCACGGTCACAAGCCACCGCTGCAAAACTTTGCTTCTCTGATCTCAGGTTACCTTTCAAGCTTTCTATCTCTTCTTTGATTTTCAATTCTTGTTTTTCTCTTTCTTTTGAATCTTCTAGCAACTGGAGAAGATCACACACAATTTGAATTCCATAAGTAAAATGTGCAGACAAATAGGTATAATATAATATAATCACTTATGTAGGTACAAAGATTAAGAATATCATTGAATATCTTCAAATCTTGCAAAAAGTTATACTCTGTTACCCATGTATAACTTAACTATTCTTAATTGATACCCTTCCTTGGAACTGTTGGAAATTACATTGGCTGAAACTTTACTAGAAGAGAAGTGAAGAATTGATATAAATATATTCTTGATTTTACAAAATGACTTCATTTTGAAGCACTCCCTCTGTCCCACAAAACATTTCTCTTTCCCTTTTCATCCATCCCCAAAAAACTCTTCTATCTTTCAATTAAAATGACATATTTACCCCTATAAATTATTAACCTACCTATCACATCATACCTATTCATTATTCTACCCATCACATCATATTCTACCATACCATAAAGCAAGGGTAAAATGGGAAAGTAACACCCAAATACCAACTTTATCAAATATGGAAATGTTTTTTAGGATGGAGGGAGTATAAATTTTTAACCATAAAAACATTTATTGTGAAAAGGAGGGTCAACATGTTAAGAAAAAGAAAGTGCTTATGAAAGTTTTCAAGTCAATATTACTCACGTCATTTTTTTGAAAAAAAACATTACTCACTTCATTAATCTTCTGTCTGGATTCTTCAAGGGCTCTGGTCAATTCATCAATACGTTTTTCTTTATAAGAATCCATGGTAGGTGTCTTGGCTGTATTTGGAAGATCTCCATTAACTGATCCAGTTGAAGCAGAGCGAGTTTTCGAATAACGACGTAACATTACATCGTTGATATGTGTTTGAAGGGCAACACATATTTCTTCTCCCTACATTGTTAGTATAGAGCCAAACCATGTTTACTAATGATGCAGAAGAAATACAAAATATGCATAATGCATCAAATGTTCACTCCGTTTAATATTATAACTTCATACCTGCTTTGTTTCAAACTGAAAAATATGCAAGACACCAGCAACTCTCATCTTAAAAAATACAGCAGCGTTACTGCTACCAAATTGCATGATGTCCCTAAGCTCAGCTGAGTGCAAATATTCCTTTGGAACTGGACGGAAGAAATGAACCTGCAGGTAACAAGCAAATTGAATCAATGAAACATTGGACTTTGAAAACAAGAAAAATTAATGTCAGCGCTCATCAACGCGAGAAAACAATGCATTACCCCTCGCTTGTTTATGCCCAATACTATTCTTCCTGGCAAGAGTCCAATTGGATCGTCAATCTTCCGAACAGCAAAGAAAACTGAATTTCCATAAGGGAGAGTTTTCAAGATCCGCAAAAATTGTTCTCTAGCGTCATCTTTAGTCAGCTTTTCCTGCACAATGAAGTTCCTTCATAAGGAGAACAAGATGTGTAATTGGTGTTCAAAAGTCAGAGGATGAGAGTATTATAGAACAAAAAGTGCAAAAACAAAGAGAAATAAAAAGTCAGATGAGAGCTTAAAGTTTTTACCATCGACTGGTATCGAGAACTGATATCCAATTCCCACTCCCTTCTAGCACGAGCAATTGCAATTTGTCTAGGTAGGAACCGCTCTAGAAGTGATTGCCAATCACTAGAAGTTACAAAAACACAAAAAGTAAACCACATTTGCATTCATACTAAAAAATGACAAAGAGAACAAGGTACCAGACATGCTGAATAATAATCCGCCTGTTTCACAATACCGGTCCCAGATTCCTTTTTAGGGTGTTTTATATTACTAGTCTCATTTCCCTTTCTTTATAGCAAAAAGTACATTTACAACCACCACAACCTCACCTTTTCTTTATCTTACCCCACTTTTTTTTCTCACCTTACCTTTTCATTCCCTCATTGGACCTTTTCTTCATTCACCTCACCTTTTCCATTTCTCACTACACCAGTCCACCTTTTCTATCACCTTACTTTTTCTTAAACTTTGTGCAAACACAAATTGGACTACTATTGTGAAGTAATAGTGAATCACACTTAGACTTAAGAAAGAAATATGGGCATGAATGAAAGCCCTTTATGAAATACAAAATATATCATGACAAAGCAAGGTACAGACATAAAAGGTAACAAAATATATCATGACAAAGCAAGACACAAAATATATCATGATAAAGCAAGGTAACAAAAGAAACTAACGTCAACAAAAAATACTTACGTGCACGAATCAGGGCCAGTATCAAACCCAATTTCAACTAATATCTGCAAAGCAGATAGCTGTGCAGCATCATCTCTACCAACAGGATAATTCCCACGTATATAATCATGTTGCAACTGTCAAAAATGGGGAAACTATTATTATCCAAAATAATTTGGCTGATTGGAAGTAACAAATAAAAAAGTGAATTTACTTGAACATAAGAGAGTTGGGTGAACATTGGGTCTGTTACAGCCTCATCGGACTCCCGAAATAACTTTTTTTTGAATACCAATTTGCAATGGACAATCTCTCCTTTACTCTTGTCCTTGGATGCCTTGAAGTCAGCCAATAGGTCTCCAATATACACGTTATCATCGAGACCAATGTACTCCTCTGCATGACAAGAAGAAGTATATAATTTCCACATGAAATTCTGTACATTTGTTTGAAGTACACTTACATATGAGATATTTTTCAAGTTACACTAAAAAATGAATTGTGCATCAGAGTCCGCAAAGGGTACCATTTCCAGGATCTGGCACTTTAGAACCAGTAACAACTTTACGACATTCAAAGAGACTAAAGCCAGAAAATGTTGAGAGCTTAATTATCCCTGCAAGCTCCTGAAATGCAGGCACATATATGTGAGGTGAACAAAAAATCAGCAGAAAGGCAGCTTAATTAATAGATGCACAGTGAAAATTTAAAGCATCCAAAATAAAGGTGAATCTCAAGAATCAGCACATATGGTGCACTTTCATCAATTTAATTTCCAGATTTTTTTCAACAAAAGAAGAAAAAAGAATCACCCATATAATATAGCTATGAGCAAATTGAGCACATGATGAGTAACTTGAATTAGCTATTTAAAAGTACTTGAATTTCAGGAAATAGTTTGAGTTCAGGCAGAGACACCATAGAGTAGTTTGAACATAAATTTTAAAAGTATGCACTATACTAGTATTGGGTAGCAGCAATAACTTCCCACGTTAGCTCACAAAACTAAGGAGGTTGAAATTGCAACGGAAATTAGGTTGTGGTATTCTTTGATTTCTTTCTAACATCATTGAAATCTAACCGGCAACATGAATTAATTACAGCCCATTGCACAATATCACTATCAATCTTACTAAAGAAATCTAGAAGATACAAAGTTAGCCTTTTAAAGAGGTGAAAACTTTTAAAAAGGTTACACTATACTGTTTGGGGAAATACTCTGAAACAGTATTTTCACTGAAGGTTAAGTATATCCAGATGGTGAATGAACAAATCAAACAATGTCTCAACTCATCTTGACTCTAGAACATCTATTCCATTTCCCTAATACATTCTTCCAAAATAAGTAGGAGTATGTTCTCCGTACACCCACTCCCGAGACCCCACTTGTGGGATTGCATTGGGTAGGTTGTATTCTTCCAAAAAAATATGAATTCATACAAATTGAAGGGAAGAAACAACAATACCTCAACAGCATCAGCAACAGTGGTGGCCATGTCATATGTAATTTCCTCAAAAGTTTCATCCAAGAAAAATACTATCGTTGTAAGTTTTTTCCCAGTTAAAAGAGCTTCAATCTCTTCTCGTCCAGGGATTGAGCGTCTAGGTCCAGCTTTAACAGAAAGTTTCAAAGCATTCAAAGAGTTCAATGCAAAAACTTGGACCTCAGAATCAGTGGTCACTCCATAAGCGACAGTGTGAATATACTCTGATAAATATCCACCAATTTCTTTGCTAGCAGGCATGCAAGATGCACATAGGTACATTAGCTCCCATGCCTTAATCAGACATTGCCTATATATGTGAACACAGAATCCTTGTTATGATGAAAAAAAGTATAAATTACATTAAAAAAAGACTGGGGGAAGTCTGATTTCCCTTCCTCAATTATACAATTTGATATTCACATACCGATCTGGATTGTTTCTTGTTTGTTTAGAAATCTGAACAAACAGTTCATCTCGAAGCTCAGGTCGCTTCAGTGCAAGCTTATAAAGTTTTCCAATGAGCTCAATGTGTTCGTCTAAACTTAGAACAAGCACACGATCAGAGTCAATCCCCATATACCTCAAAATGATCTGAAACATCTTAACTGCCCTAGAAATAAGGTCTCCATTCATTTTCAGAATGGATGTTGGTATCGGTTCCTGTCAATTTAAGAACAGTCCTTATTACAATGTGCGAAGGAGATGATCACATGTTAGCATCTAAACATCATGTTCTTACCCTTTGGAAACAGAGCATATCTTCTAATGTGAATTTCTCTCGAAGTTGGGGCCCCACTGACTTTTTAGAAAAGAATCCCCGTTTTCCAGCAGATTGAATCTGCTTGTGCATAGCCTTCAGAAACACCTCCACCTATAATATGCAGAAGAATGAGTTCAAAATAAATGGAAAATTATTAAGAATGTCCGGGTTGTTGGCACCTTGATGTCTATGCTCACTAATTAACACTCCTTATCACTACCATAGTGTCACTAACTGACATGTTATGCTCGCTATTTAATTAAGAGGGTGGAGCACCAAGGTGCTCCCAATAATTTCTCAAAAGAAATTTACTAAGAAGGTATCTCCTCACTTCTTATTAATCTACTAACAAAAAACAAAGAAAAACAAAAATGTCTTTTGTTCAGATGGTAGAAAATACCGCACCTGAAACCTATCAATATATGCCATTGCACCAGAAAGTTCGGGAGAAATATCAGATGGGAGTGTAGTTGAAGTGCTGCACGTCCATGAGATGCAATTGATAAAACGTTACGAGTTAAAAAGACATTGTAGGCTAAAGAAATGTATTTGAACATTTTTATAGCTAGAAGATACAATACAAATCACACAATGGCACTAAGCTAAAATATAATGACACGTGAAAAACAAAAACTTACAATGGAGCATAATTCGAACCATCACTATCATAACCATCCCCTACTGAGGTGGCAAAGGAAATGCGAGGAGTCTCATATCCATTATTAGATCCTAGAGAAGACCTGACTGACTTCGCTCTTGTCACTCTCTGGGGCATAGCTGGTGGCATATCAGAAATCATTAAGCCTCACGTATTTAAGGTTTCAAGCAGGTACGTACGACTGCTTCTCAATAGAGCACCATGTATCCTAGAGCCTCTTAAAACATTCTTATTTCCTTCTGATGAGCAAAAATCAGTTCACTGTTGTAGGAGTAATAAAATAGAGAATGTCAAACCACATAACTTGGGTCCAAAGAAAGGTTTCAATTAATCAAGTATGAAAGCAAGAATAATACACATGCCAGAGAATATGTAATCAGAAGAGCTGAAAACCAAAAAAATGCTCAGCCACTCAGACAGAAGATCAACTCATTATCAAACTTACTTAGGCATGAACATGCAGAAAGTATTTGAATCGAATAACACTTCTTAAGTAGATATCAAGCATTCTCATGAAAAAAAATTCCTTCCTATACAAGACAATTTTAACCATGAGATCTATAACAAATTGAAGCTTAAAACAACAACAACAACAACAACAACCCAGTTAAATCCCACAAGAGTAGGGTCTGGGGAGGGTGTGTGTACGCAGACCTTACCCCTACTCGAAAGTAGAGAGGCTGTTTCCAAAGAGACCCCCGGCTCAACATTGAAAGTTGCATTGCTTGACTAACTGCTACTTCATTAATTAAAGAAGCGCAGACAGTTTAGAGATCCATTTTGATTTATTCCATCACACCCAAAGCCAAAAAATGGTGAAATTTTGGCTCCATCGGAATTAACGGAATGAAAAAAAACTGCAATATAGTTAGACACAATATAGTCAAGTAAATAACTTAAACTAAACGACTGAACTGCAAGTTAACAATACATTACAGTGTGAAGATACTGTTAAGTCCGTGTGAGTGCATTATTGACTAATTGTATTCTAGTAGAGTAATTGTAACTTTACCTTACTAGAGATAGTGAATGAAACAGATTGGTGAGCTCAAAGTCACGGACATACACCGTCATTCCATACAAAGAATTTAGAAAATGAAATTGCCCAACCTAAGGAGAACAGAGCATAATATGCAGGTGGAGATAAGAACTCAGAAAACAAGAACATACCCACACCTAATTTGAAGTAAAAGCTTCAAACTCTAATCTAATTCTTCAATGGGTATGTTAAAAATTAGAAAATGCCAGTATAACTCTGACAAGATTGGGAGTCAATCAACAAATTTGTAGTCAACCATTAGGGATTTAGGATTTACATTTCTGATATAGTAACTTGCGTATCTCTAATGATCAACAATCAGGGCCGATTAACCACTAGGGTCGTATTCTATGCAATATATATCACATCAATTTCTAGATCAGAAGAAGAAAAACACAAGAAATCCCAAAAGAATTTTCCAAAAAAAAGGAAAATAAAATAAAAACTGACCCTTTTCAGGGGGGACAGAAAGAAGTGCGGCTCCAATGGAGCATAGAAGTCTAATGATGAGCCAAATTTTTCAGATCAGCCTTGTGCAATCCTTCAATATGAGCAGTCACGAATCAACTAAGAAACCAGATCGAAAAAGATACAAATGGGTATCCACAGCTAAGCTCAAACATTAACAAACATATCTATGTCTACATTCATAAAAATGTGGAGAGGGATTGAAGCTGAGGAGTGGTGGATGCGGAGGTTGATTGGTCATTGGACTACTAGAGTGAAAGGGGAAGAAGGAGGAGGAGGAAGGTGCAGAGGGTCACGAGAACTTTTAAATTAATTTAAAGATCATTAATGAAGACAGTTCTTTAAAAACAGAGAGATAAAGTAAATGTTCGTTGGTTGACAACTTTTAATTTACAGATTTGTGGCTTTGGACAAATATAGTTTCCAATCTTTCCATTTGTTACTCGTATTAAAATCTTCACCCTAAAATCTTTGCTCACTTATTTTGTGTAGGAGAGGTTCTAGAGTATAATGAGATAATCCAAATGAGTTACGATGTCTCGTTCGTAAAATAGATTACTCATATTTTTTTATTTATCATTAAATCTCCACCTAGCCTCAATCCAAACCTATCACTCACCCTTTTCAAGTGCACTCCCAAAATTAATCAAATTTGTTTTACTTCAAGGTCAGATAAATTTAAAGGTACAATTGAAGAGGGTGTGGGTGGATTTGAACGGGACGGGTGGGGGTTTACCCGACAGTTCGGAAGTATGAACGATCAATTTTATGAACGAAACATTGTAGGCTCCAATTAGGATTAGGGATATGCATCTAGCTCCTTTTCTCATTCAGGCAACGCAACGCCACAACAGCTTCTCTTTTCTCTTCCCTTTTCAGAGATGTCGTTCTCCGTCTCTTCTAATTTTTCCTTTTAATTTTTAATATTATTTTTATCACTTATTTTAATTAAAATAATTAAACTAAAAACATACTCCGTAAACTACAATAAAAATAAACTAAAGTAAAATTTAAATTGAACATTTCACAAAAATTGAAAAAAGAAATATAATAATAGTGTGTCCAAAAAAATATGTAAATAAAAGTACGTAAAACAATGCATACTAATAATAATAATAATAATAATAATAATAATAATAATAATAATAATAATAATAAAATGGCTCTTTTGACCTTGAAACCTCGAGGCATATTATGATCTGGGGCACCTACGGTGCTCTATTCATAAAATTGATGGTTAGTACCCCCTAATCCTCCTAAACTCTGCCTGTTGGGGATAACAAAGATAACATGGATCGATTTGAGAGTCGTATAACACTTTCAGATTGATTATTTTGGATGTTCAATCCAAAAATCAATCGGATAAAACTCAAATTTGACAAGAACAGGTATGCATATTTATAAATCTCAAACTGGGCTTTTGCGACAAAGGATGCGCCAGATTTATAGAGCCGCGGAAGGATGAAGAGATGCGGTCAAGTCTTTTTCTAAGATTGCGTCTACTCGCGTGAAACATTAGAAAAACGAATGCAATTTCCGATAAAAACTTCCTTAAGGAAAATTCAAAAATCAAAATTCGAACAAATTTTTTAACACAACCATTTAAGGAAAATTCAAAAATCAAAATTCGAGCGAAAATCAAAATTCAATTTATAATTTATTAACTAAATATGCGAATTTTTCCGATAAAAACTTCCTAAAGAAAAATTCGAAAATCAAAATTCGAGCGGATTCGACCCTAGCTAGAGGCTCAATCTGCCCCTTGGACCCCACAAGGGCTACTGCCCCTTCAACCCTGCTCGGGGGTGTTGCCACATTAAAACCCACATTATAACAAACTAAACGAAGTGTGCTCTCCGTACTACCGAATTTCTTTGATGTTTATTATGATACATTTGGTCAAATAATTTTCCCAATTACACAGAAATATATAACTTTTATCTACCCACTCCACCACATGATTGAGATAATTTTCAAGAAAAATGCTAGGGGTACACCTTTGAAGGTGTACCCCAAATGTCCCCCACCCCCTCCTTGTCCACTAAAAAAGGCAAAAAAATTCAAAAAAAAAATAAGTAAATAAAAATCAAATAAAAATGTGTGGAGGAAAAGAAGGTGGTGTACATTTGGGGTACACCAATTTGGTGTACCCCTAGCATTGCTCAATTTTCAAATACAAGATCAATAGAGAAAAAAACCAATGGATGTCTTGCAAAAAAAAAAAAAAAGAAAAAAAGAAACAGCCTCGGGTTCTTTTGAAGATTTATTTTCAATACGATGCAATGTACCACGCTAGCTAGTTTAGTTTAATTTGTCACTTGTAACTTGTCATATACTTCTTGGTCAAGTATCTAATTAATATATTCACTCTATATATGCAATGCTAGCTTGTGACTTATCCTTTTCTAGACATTTCGTGGACATTTCTTGCAGGTACTGTACTCCCTTTTTTTTATAATTAGTGTAATTCATACTCGAAATGATATTAACATTGTAATTTTTTATATCGATACTCCCTATTTTTAAATAAAAATGATATTAGATATTGTTTTAAAAATAATTTTGCTAAATTTATTATATCAAACATTTTCAAAATATTATTTTATCTAATTAATATACAATTTTGCCGCATTTCCATAACCTTTGTTTTGCCATAAATAGCTAATTGATGCACATAATTTTTAATACTCCGCAATCAACATGCATAACTCTAAATGAGTACGTGTTTGAGTATTTCTACCATAAACTTAATGCATATAACTTCACACAAAAATAAATTAACTAAAAATTAAAATAAATAAATATTTTATCATGCATAACAACATGAAAATATAAGAGCTTATATTGTACATATGCATGTACCTAGAGCTAAGTACATCCAACAAATATTTATTTTGAATCAATGTCGTATTTATTTTGAAGTAATATATTGTTCATTTCAAGCCTACTCAGTGTAGTGTGTCATTCTGAAACAATATAATGTTCATTTTGAAACAACGTAATGTATGTTTATTCTGAAACATTTTTTAGTTACAAGTTTGTCATATTGTACGGTATATCCGATTGTACCATATAATTTGCATGAAAATAATAATGCAATTATTAAAAGGATTTATGATTTTTAAGCGCACCTAATGATGTGATATAACTTTCTAAATTGAGTAGCTAATTAAGGTTTGAAACTATATAATTTAAAAATTTTAAAGTAATCCAATTCAATGTTGGGGGACACTCATACATATACTCCTTCACCAATGCTACTAAATTAGTTGTATGGTCCCTGAACATGCATATCATGTCCAACAAACTCATATAGTCATTTCATATGATTGCCAAATTTATTCCTATCCCCCCATTAAAATACTCTTTGAGTGGTTCGTTGGTTGCCAATAATGAAGCTAATTGAATTATATTTATAATTCAATGTATTTAAAAATATATTGTAGAATAATTATATAAAACAAGAAACCAGAGCTCCCAATTCAACTAGAACTAGGAAACAAAATAAAAACTGACTAAACGCAAAATCTACTTTAATTAAGAGGGTGTTTGGCAGTGTGCTGTTTTTAATAATTTAGCTTCTGCTTTGAGTACGTGGAAGTGATTTTACTCTGTTATGCATGTCAGCTTCTGCTTTTCACCATCACTATTTTGTATATAGAACACCGTTTCGAAGAAGCAAGTATGAGGTGCTTTTGCTTTCAGCTTTTGCGGAAATCACTTTATCCAGAAGTTAATCACTCCCAAACACCCTTTAAGAATGACTATGATTAATTGTCCAACAATATTAAACTATTTATGAAAATAATAAGTTGGAAAATATGAAATGTTTGATATGTGAATCACACACTAGAACAATTACTTTTAAAGCTAATAGAATAATAAATTGAGTAATTTACACAAATAGGACTAAAATATAATCATTTTCTCTAAATAGGACTATAAGTTTTTCTCCTGATTAGGATTTAATTAATTAATAATTATTTAATAATTAATACTAATGTACCAAATTAGTTCTTTTAGGTTGTTTTGTCCTTGTAGGTTTTAAACCATAATTCATTACTCTATCTATTCTCCGACCGCATCGCCACCACAATTGTCCCCGACCGCCCATCATCTACAACAATAATGTCCTTTGCCGAATAGACATTATCCACAAAGCTTAAAATATCTTTATCTATGAAAAACCAAAAATGTCCATAGTATTTGAACTGCTCTCTATTGTTTATTTTCCTTGGAATCTTAATGTCATTCAGTCACCTCCAGTGATGTCATGTATATTATTCACTATGTCACAATGTCCATAACGTTTTAATGTCTCTGCTGAAAAAATGAAAAAAGACAATAATAATGATGGAAGAGATTGAGGCTACATTTACACTATGTTTGGTTTAAGGAATTTGAAAGGGGAAAAGAAAAGAAAATGAAGTAGAAAACCATTTTTCTTGTTTGGTTAAGGGGGAAAAGAAAGGAAAAGTGAAAGGAAAAGAAAATGAAGAGACAAAAATGTACCAAGTGGAGGGAACATCAAATTCTTTCCATTTTGGTGAGGAAAATGAGAGAAAATCATTTTCTTTTTTTTTTCCTTCCAAAATCCTTGAGCCAAACATAGTGTTAAATGTTAATGTCTTTTTATCAATGAAAATGAACGATAGTCATAGTGTTTAATGTCCATAGTCAAAACCAATAATTAATTTTCAAAAAATTTTGTAAATAATTACCTAAAGAAACCCAAAGATAAAAAAAAGTTAGAAAAGTAGATCGGAGAAAAAAAAGTAGATCGGAGAAGGAATTTTAAAAAACTCGCCATGTACGTGCAGCGGCGGTGGTCGTTAACACACAGGGCAACAACGGTGCGTGGCAATGACTAGTGGCAAAACACAGGGCAACATATGTTCGTGCGGGGTGTGTGGGGGGGGTGCCTGTGAAGATGATGATGATGATGATGGGGAAAGAGAAGGAGAAGAAGGAGGTGATCGAAGAAGCATGAGCAGGAGGAGGAGGAGCGGCGAGTGACAATTGAAATTGGGAAGAGGGGAGAGGGAGAAGAAGGAGGTGATCGACAATTGAGTTATGTTTTAGTCTTATTTAGAACAAATTGTACAAATAAATTTGCTAACGTATTAATGTCATGACCGAAACAATATTTATAAAAAACTAAAAAAGAATTACATACGAACCTAATCATATGTTAGTTCAAGGTATTGGCTAATCTATTGGTAAAATAAAAAATCATATTGCTAAGAGTTTTACTAGGTAAAAACTTTTATTTGTTAGAAGAGG